CACTCTTTCTTGACTTCGACAGTAGATTTAAACGAATGGTGAGCTGAACGACACGGCCGTCTTACCCCTCTGGATGTGGGACCTGGTACCCTTTGGGCAGAATAACTGGTCTTGACGCTGTGGCTAAGAGATAAATGTCTTGCCCTTGCTGGGAATCGAAGCCCGGTCGTCTAGCCCGTAGCCTGCCACTATAATGTGTGTGTGTGTGTGTGTGTATAATACTTTAAGGGAAAGATATATTTGTAAGACCAAGGCGTAGATGACAGGGTAATATTAAAAAAGATTCGTAAAAGCATAGGTTGAGATTATTTGGACTGGATTAATCTGGTACACGATTGGGGACAGTAGTGGGCTGTTGTGAATACGGTAATGAACTTTTATGCTCCATAAAACGTAGGAGAATTTTGCTAGCTGAGTGAATGTTAGTTTCTCAGTAATGATTCTGCTGATTGGAATTAGTAGGTTAGTCTGTCGATCAGTTATTCAGTCAGCTGTGTGGCTCGTTAACTGTTGAAGTTTCACGTTCTTACGTCCGCAGAATAGTGACATTAATCTTTATTACAACGGGTTGATGTAAATTGCCTGGTAAGTTTTTTATCATTGACGGTAGATTTTTATGATTACCTCCTGCAACGACCTACAACTACAAGTTCTTTGTATTCAAGTCTCTGACCAGTATCTGACTTATTTGGTATGACGACAAGTGACGAACCGAACTAACCTACAGCACAGTAACGCTTTTGAGAGAAAAAAATCCCGTATTATTACAGATCGCTATGAAAACAATATGAATTTCTATCAGACGTGTGTGATTTTTACGTTCTGTTCAGGAATCAAAGTACACCACAACAGACGTACTTGTTGAACATCCATCACATTTCGTTCGCACCGCGTAATATCCATACTTCAGCAATGCGTTTATTTTAAGTCGTTTCTGACCGTTCACTGATGAAATGTCTACAATTCGCTTAAAAGTATGACAACCTCCTTTATGCGCGCTTCCATCTTGGCGCAATTGGTCTGAAGCAGTTTTTTCAAAGTGACCGACTTTGTTTATGCATTGCATTTGCAAACAATGCGAATGCTAATAGGACGTCTAAGTCCATTCATAAGAGGCTGTTGCAGTTGTAAATTACGTAGAGGAGTGTGGAGGAAAGCTGCAGGAGGTAAGACGGATTCAACCCTCTCGAAGTACTGGTTGAATCAGACCGGCCTTGAACTCAGGACCGCCAGAAGCCACTGCACCGCTGTCTGTAGTCAGCTTCGGCGCGTTTAAATCTGAGCTGAATACACAATAGAATTTATCTGAAGTCCGAGTCCCATAAATTCTTTGTTTACAATCGTGTTTTGTAAGTATTGATGTCTGGAATAATAGTCATGGTTTAGAATGCTTTATTTTCCTTCTTTTTTCTCGAAACATAAATATTAAAATGTGTAAGGTTGTAATTTTATGAGCTCTTGTATATAGCTGCAACTCTTCGCCTCTCATTCTGATGCAGAAACGGAGATCGAGGGTGTTCAAGAATATATGTAAAGTATATCAACTAGAGAAATATTAGGTCCTTTCACGTAGAATTCTGTTTAAGTCTATGTAAGTAATTACGTTAGAAATTAAGATTAGTAAATAAGTAAATTAATGATAAAATATGCGATTTGAAAAATACGAAATTGGTTCAGTAAAAACGGCAGTAAATAAGTAGACTTACATGTAGTCTGATACTGGGATAGTTATAATTCTAAAAGTAGACCAACAATATTAATAAGGTTTTTCATTATTACAGATTATTATGTTATTACAGCGCCATTTAAACTTGCACAAATTACATCAGAATAACCTGAGGTGAGGAAATTAATATAATTGTTGAGCGGGTAAGGATCTGGAAGGATGGGGTTAGGCCCAAATGTAATATCTCAAATGAGATTTGAAACATACATTTTTAATACAATTCTAGAATATTATTGTTGCATGAACGTGATCTTTCTTGAAGTTATAAGGTATTTTATAAGCATGCATCTATTATCATATATACACGAAACATTTGTTTCGCTACTACATAATAGTGATAATTACTATTAACATAAAATTATTATTTATGTTGCTGTGCAAACACTAAATTTGTATACGTATACAATATACTAGAAAGCTTTATTATAACTATTTAATGTACGCATTACTTTGTTTTCGGGTTATTTGTATTTATTCTCTTGTGCTGACTGTTAACTGGTTGTTACAGCTGTTAAACTAGCACCTACGGCCAAAGAATTGAATTAAAATGAATTATTCTAAGACTTTGTCACAGTACAGCAGGTTACATAGAAGGGGAGGGTCCGAGGCATAACTTAACCAAATTATAGTTTATCCGTTCTTTGGGCTGGGTTACATATATTTATAGTTTTAATAGTCAGGAAACGAACCGTAGAAACCTTGGGTTGAAATCTGCATGCGTTTGTCTCTTATGTACCCACACAATGTCATTATCACATTTGTAGGTCATTCACTGACTCATGTGCTAGCATTTCCATACACGCGCACTGAGCAGTGTATTAAGTATGACGTCTGTTTCCATGAGAACGTGGGTATTTTTATTCATAATTCATGTTTACAGTTTCTAACTATTTTCGTGAACGAAGTACATAAAATTAATCGAGGGCAATGTCTGTCCGTCCCTTCACGCATTTCATTGCCAAAACTCTTGAACGGATATTGTCTAAATTTGATATAGGGGTTATATTGTAAATTGGCCGGGGGAATTGCCTTTAGAACATAGTGTCGAAATATTTTAGTTACATGATGGGACATACTTAGGATACTTAGACGACCTTCTTCAAGTGCCTCAGCACTGCGGGTCCCAACTTTTCGTTAGCTTTGATCTATAGACATTTTGGTAGGACTCCTTGGACGAGGGATCGGCCCGTCGCAAGGCCTCTACCTGTACACAGGACAGCGCAACACAGAAGAACGCGGACAAACATCCATGGCTTGAGTGGGATTCGAACCCACGGTCCCAGTGACCAAGCGGCCACTGTGACCCCATGATGGGACATGGATAAAGAAAAGCCCAAGATAAGCGAATGTAAGGTGAAAGACATAAATGATAAAAATATTTTTAAAAACAGGGATATGGGAGTCTTTGAATTGTTTGTTTGTCTTAATATCCTAGTTGTGTCTTTCCATTTTATTTATTGGAAAATTATTACACGATACGATGATTTCCCTTGGAAGATTTATAATTAATTAGTTCACCCATCAATTTCATGTTACTGAATTTCGAATGTTCGTTGCCGAAACCACAAAATACCACTATTAGAACTTATCCTGAGACAAAGAAATACATTTCACATTTTTACAACCTCCGTCTCTGAGATTAGCTGTAACATTCATTATCTTAGATTTCTCAAGAGATCTTTACCATTGGCGTTCTACTACCATAATCTTTAATCAATTTATTGTTTCGCACGCTAATTACATGTCATCATTCTTGATTTATAGCCCGAAAATATAATGTAAAGATTACAAATTGCGAAGGTGATTATCAAGTCTCTCATATTTTGGCTTTAATTTTTCATTTTCTGAATTGTTGCTAATAAGGTCAAGGTTGACAGAGCTTGTCCTGTCACCAGGAACTACAATAGAACGAAGGTCAATCAGAAGGCTGCGTGGGACAAGGGCGTGGCTGGGTGGTATTGTGGGACCCCTTATCTTCATATAA